TATATATATATATATGTGTGTGTGTGTGTGTGTGTGGGTTTTAAAAAATATATATGAGTGAAAATTCGGTTACTTCAAAAATAACTCTTAAAAGAGTTATTTAATGAATGTAATTATGTTATATATTGAATTTCTTATTCAATAAATTAAGTCTAAAAATTTTTATATACTTTATCTTTTAATCAATAATTTTATTTAATAGATAATGTTAGATAATAATATTTAATAATTTTTAAAATTAATATTAGATAATATTTAATAATTTTAAAAATATTTTTAATATTCAATAATGAAAAAAATGAAGAGATAACAGATAAGATAAAATATATATAAGTGAAATAAAAAAGAAAAAAATATGAGAAATTTCAAATTCTTACTTTTTTGGAAGAATTTGAAATTTTACTATTTCAAGAAATTTTACAAATACTTGAATTTCAAATTCTTTATAAATTCTTCATCCAAACAACTTATTTCACCTCAAAGAATTTGAAATTCTTCAAATAAATGAATTATTCCATTTAAATTACCCATTCAAACACACTATAAAGCAATTTGCAAGGGATTTATTCTCTAAATTTGCGAGGGAGCTAATAACAATTTGTGAGGGTCCTGTTCTCTAAATTTGCGAGGGATTAGCGAAAAACATTTTCCCTCACTAATTTGCGAAGGCTTTGCGAGACATTTGCGAGGGCTATACTTATAACTTGTACCTATCTTAAGGGCACAACAGTAATCTTCTCGTACTCTGAAGGTCGAATGAGAGCTCCGATTGAATATCCCGGTGAGAGGGAGGGTACCTGCAAAAGGCACTCCGACGCTCAAGTAAGGACAAGCACAGATATTGATAGTAATTAATGAACAGTGACTTTACCTCGTGACATGAGCTATTTATACCGACATTTATGGGCCCTGATCCCCATGGGCCCTGAAATATGCTTACCAATCTAGGTAATACGTCTTAATCGATTTATCGATGTAATTAACCCTTAATTACTGATTAAGGGTAATCTTTGAGTGTAGGTCGATCCTGGTGGCCGATTGGGTGTCGGCTACCAGATTCGGCCACTTGGTGACCGATAGGGTTTCGACTATGCGGTGGCCGAACGCCTTTACTCGTACACTTGCCCCCCAACCTTGGAGAAGGGCAGGCCCTCTTCAAGGGTAAAAGGAGGTTGTTGGCTAAGGGTAAGGCGAACGGTTTTCATAATCTGAACCGTTAGATTTTGAAAATCAGACGGTTACATTTTTTTAAAATTTTGAAATTTCCCGCTCTTTTCCTTGGCTATATATAGTTATGAGTGGTAGGGCCTCTCACGCGTATTGCTTTCAGCCGAGTTGTGTCAGCCGAACAACTGTGAGACCGAATCAAGTGTGCCGAGTGATTTTATTTGTGTTCTGCAAACCTTGGTAAGTATTTGTTATCATGGATAACGTTCCCGAAAGCTCTTCGGCTGATAGCTCTCGGTCATCATCGTCCGAGGGGTCATCGTCCAGTGATTCCAGTCGTCCAAGTATAACCCAGTCCCCAGTGCATGTCGAGAGGTCCGACGAGGGTGCAACATCAGGAGAAGCTTCCACCAGTGGGAGTCTCGAGGTTCAACCCAAAGCAAGGCGTATGTCGAATCGGCAACGATATGGGCCGTCCGAGGTACCTGGTTATGAATGGGTGAATGGAGAGGTGACATCATACTATTCGCGCTACCAAGACACGACCATGATCACCAACCTCTTGGAGTATACTAACTGCTTAACTTTTAATGCTAAGGAGGATCCATACCCGATCGGGGTTCGGTCGTGCCGAAACAATGCCTTTCTGAACCCCGATACAGTCTATCTCGACCAACACGCCGCGAAAATGTAGTCATTCTACATATATGACTGCCTCGTTCGGGATCTCAAAGTGAAATTGCCCTTTGACGAGTTCACGATAGGAGTGTTGAGGGTTTTAAATTTTGCCCCGACTCAACTACATCCGAACAGTTGGGCCCAATTACAGGGTTTCAAACATCTATGTCGATGCCTTTATATTAAGCCATCACCACTCCTTTTTCTCTATTTTTACTCGTCTAGGCCCTCGACGTTAGCCAAGTGGTTTTCATTAAGCCGAGTGGGCGATCGGCAGCTACTGGATAGCTTTACTTCCTCGTATAAGAATTTTAAGGCTGGGTTTTTCCGAGTGACCATCCGCCCGAATGGACAATGTTTTTTCTTTAACAAGGATGATAGGAGTATGTTTCCTTTGTACTGGACACGTGCCCCTCGGCCGTACGATGTGGTGCCGAAGAAGATGTTTTCAACCGAAGAGTAGAAGGACTTAAAGTTATTACTCCGTCTTCCTTGGCGTTTGTCGACCGATCTCTGATTAACTTGGTTGAATCTCCCCAATGGGAGAACGACCTGATAGGTATGTTATCTGTCTTGTTTCGACTGTTGGCTAAATTCCTATTGATTTTTACTTAATCACTTTTGCAGGAATCATGGTTTCTAGTGGTGCCGACGAGTTCAACATTTGAAACTTGCTTGCCGAACGAGTAAAGCACGTCAAACAAGCCAGGGGTGTTGGCACTTCAAACATTGCACGCACCCCCCGACCCAAAAAAGATGACCGAGTGCCCCCTTCCTCGGAACGCAAGAAGCGAAGGGGAAAAAAGGGGAAGGAGGCCGAGAGAGAGGGTAAAAAAAGAAAGGGCCCTGAGGAACGACAAGAGCAGCCGAAAAAGGCAATGCACGTGGCCGAGACATCACCAAATCGAACGGTGATTGTGGTGCCTCCTACTCTGATGTCTCGCGCCTTTATAGGTGATGATGTGTCGGTCGATACACTGATTCGGCTTGATGTCGTGTCGGCCTACGGGCAGGAATTCTTGGCCAATCATGATACCATAACCAAATGGAAGTACTTCTGCGAGGTGCAAGCACGTTCTTTGGCTCTTGCCCACCATCTGGCAGTGGAGCCTATCGGCGAAGTAATGTGCCTGAGACAAAGAGTTGAAGAAGCCGAGAAGGCTACGGCCGAAGCCCTTTTGGCTACTCAAGAGGTCACAGCTAAGAATCAGGACCTTGCTGCCGAGTTGGACACGCTTAGGCAGGAAAATGACACACTTCGTCTGCACCTGCAGAAGGCGACAAATGAAGAGCGGCGACGAGGGCTGAGTACAATCGTCTAAAGGAGCAGGCAAAAGAAAAAATTTTCACTCAGCATGAAGCTGGGTTCCGACACACTATTCGGCAGGCTAAGGATTTCGGCCAGTTCTGGGAAGACTTCGAATTTGACATGACCTGTGATTTTTATCAGGGGTCTTTCATGTCGTTCGGGGAGATGCCCGAGGGAGCGCAACCTGATAGCACCGAACCGAGTGTTGCCCCCCAGACTGAGGAGGATACTCAGATTGCATCTAACGATGATGCTGAGAACGAACAAGAGCAACCAGCTTCTGAACGGGAGGTGAATGATGGTTCTAAGGTGCGCGAGGATCCTGTCGGTACTGCCCACTTTTTCAAACACAACCGAGTGATCTTGTTCGGTATTGCTCAGTTTGAGTAAGCAAACCGAGAGGGCTCGTTCAGCAAGGTACACTTTACGAGTGAAAATCGAGTAGCCTCGTTCGGTATGCCTTGTTTTCACAGGCAAACCGAATGCACGTGTTCGGCAATGCTTTCTTTTGGAGAGCAAACCGAGAGAGCTCGTTTGGCAAAGTACACTTTACGAGTGAAAACCGAGTAGCCTTGTTCGGTATGCCTTATTTTCAAAGGCAAACAGAATGCACGTGTTCGACAATGCTTTCTTTTGGAGAGCAAACCGAGAGAGCTCGTTCGACAAAGTACACTTTACGAGTGAAAATCGAGTGGCGTGTTCGGTCAGTAGTGGTTTTTCAAAGGCACATCCTTGGCCGAGTTGATCAACTCGGGAAGGAAGCCTTTTTGTACGATTCTCTGAAGGCACATCCTTGGCCGAGTTAATCAAATCGGGAGGGAAGCCTTTTTGTACTATTTTCCGAAGGCACGTCCTTGGCCGAGTTGATCAACTCGGGAGGGAAGCCTTTTTGTACGATTCTCCGAAGGCACATCCTTGGCCGAGTTGATCAACTTGGGAGGAAAGCCTTTTTGTACAATTCTCCGAAGGCACATCCTTGGCCGAGTTGATCAACTCGGGAGGGAAGCCTTTTTGTACGATTCTCCGAAGGCAAATCCTTGGCCGAGTTGATCAACTCAGGAGGGAAGCCTTTTTGTTGATTTTTAGATTATGCAGCTGATAAGAGATGAAGAGCAAAATAGACGAACTGATTGATATTTCATTGATTGGTGCCTAGTTAAAAACCTTGTCGGCCAAAACCTCTTTTCACTTTTTTATAAGGGGAGAAAAGACCGATCAAGGAAAAGAGTGCACTATGTGGATACAGCAATTACAAAAATTAACTGAAATAAGTTTTCAAATGGGTGGAATTCCATGTTTGGGGAATGGTTTTTCCCGAAAGCTCTTCTAACTTGTATGCTCCATTATTAAGGTTGTGTCAGATTCTGAAGGGGCCGTCCCAATTTGCTGCCAGCTTGCCTTCGCGCAGGTTCCGTCTATCCGATCCTAGTACACGCCAGACTAAGTCTCTTTCTTTGAAGCTCCTTTTGCTGAGATTGGAGTTGAAACGTTGTGTCATTCTTTGTTTGCAAGCTTCGGCCACGATGCACGCCTTGATGCGTACCTTGTCAACCATGTCTGCCTCTTCTCGTAGGGAATCATCATTGCAGGTCTCGTTGAAGTTTATCCTCCGAAAGGAAGGTTCTCTAACTTTAACCGATATCATTGCATTAGTGTCATATGTCAGCCGAAACAGAGTTTCTCTTGTAGTGGACTGAGGTGTGCACCGATAAGCCCATAAAACTTCAAGCAGCTCTTCAGCCTAAGCTCCCTTGGCATCGCCCAAGCGCTTCTTGAGTTCGGTGAGGATCACCTTGTTGGCGGCCTCGGCCTGTCCGTTTGCTTGGGGATGTTCTACTGAAGTGCATCAGTGTCGAATGCCTAAATCCTCCATGAACTTGTTCAACTTTTGGTCTATGAATTGAAGTCCATTATCAGTTATGATGGCATGAGGAATGTCAAACCGTGTGATAATGTTTCTCCACATGAACTTCTGAACCATGTTAGCGGTGATCGTAGCTAGTGGTTCGGCCTCGATCCATTTTGTGAAATAGTCAATAGCTACCAATAAGAATTTGCATTGTCTTTTTGCGAGGGGGAAAGGTCCGAGGATATTCATTCCCCATAAGGCAAAAGGCCAAGGGGTACTGATGCTATGCAATTCTTCTGCTGAAGCGTAGATGATATTGCCGTGTTTTTGACATTGGATGCAACGTTTAACGAAGTTTGCGCAATCTACCTTTAAAGTCAGCCAGTCATAACCGACTCTCAAAACCTTGGCTGCTAAAGTCCTACCCCCCAAGTAGAAGCCGCAAATCCCTTCATGAACTTCTCGTAGGACGTACTCAGCTTGCTCTGAGTCGACACACTTAAGTAATGGAGTGGAAAAACCCCTTCTATACAACGTGTTGCCAATGACTGAGTATCTAGCAGCCTGGGTTCGAATTTTCTTTGCAGCTAAGGCTTCTTCGGGTTCTTTGCCTGTCGTGATGAAGTTCATAATTTCATCCATCCATGTTGCTCGTGCTTCGGATACCTCGAGGCACTCGGTTGAGCTAACGCTCGGAGTTGGGAGTTCCAAGTGAAGGGTGGTCCTGAGTTGCCCTGGTTTTCGGCTGCAACTGGCTAGTCGAGCCAATTGGTCAGCCCTTTCATTGTTTTCTCTTGGCGTGTGTTTTACCTGAACTTCCTCAAAATTGTCCCGCATTTTTTGGAATGTGGTAATACTTCAACAAGTTAGCATCTTTGACTTGGAATGTCTCATTCACCTGTTTCGATACCACCTTCGAGTCGGTCCAATAGATTAACTTTCTCACCCCCACTTTGTGTGCTAGCCTTAGCCTTGCTAATAGGGCTTCATATTCAGCCTGGTTGTTTGAGGCTTTGAATGCAAAACGTAGAGATTGCTCTAGAGCTAAACCTGAAGGCCCTTCAAGAATTACACCAGCTCCACCACCCTGGCTGTTGGACGAACTATCGACACGGAGCACCCATGGATCACACTCGAAGTCCCTTTTCGGTTGCAACTGATTGAACAAATCGGCCAAGCATTGTGATTGGATCGGACCTCTAGGTTGAAAGATGATGTCGAATTCAGACAGTTCAACTGACCAAGCCATCATTCATCCAGCCAGTTCAAGTTTTCGCAAGACCTTGGCGATTGGGCAATCCGTTCGAACGATGACTCGGTGACTCTGAAAGTACTGGCGTAAACGCTGAGCAGTGTGGACTAGTCCTAGTGCTACTTTTTCAAGCATTTGATACCTCGCTTCTGAGTCTTGAAGTAAACAGCTAATAAAATATATCGGCTTCTGCCCATTCTGATCTTATACTAGCACAACACTAATGGCTTCATGGAAGACGCATAGATACACAATCATATCCGAATGACAATTTGGTTTGGCTAAAATCGGTGTTGATCCGAGTTGCTGTTTAAGTGTACGAAAGGCCTCTTCACACTGCTCCGACCAGCTGAACTTGGCTGCTTTTTTTAATAGACTGATGATAGGTTTAGCTATCTCCGCCAAGCATGGCAAGAATCGCAACAACGATGTGAGTCTTCCGGCCAACCTTTGTACTTTTTTAATGTTGCTTGGGCTTCGCATACCAATTATCGCCTGACATTTGTCCGGATTGGCTTCTATGCCTCTTGCCGAGACCATATAGCCGAGAAATTTTCCACCTGCAATCCCGAAGATGCACTTTTCCGGATTGAGTCTCATGTCGTGCTTGCGAAGTTGGTGGAATACTTCTATAAGGTCAAACGTATGTTCAGCCAAGGTGTCGGACATGACTACCATATCATCAACGTAAACCTCCATGTTTTTGCCGAATTGTTGCTTGAAAATCTTATCCATCAACCTCTGATAGGTTGCCCCAGCGTTCTTCAAACCAAAGGGCATCACCCAATAACAGACGTTGGCCGAGTCGGTGATGAAAGCCATTTTTTCTTCATCCTGCGGATGCATTCGAATCTGATTATAGCCAGAATATGCGTCGAGAAAGGTAAAGATTTTGTGACCGGCTGCACCATCAACAAGTCGGTCAATGTTTGGGAGTGGGTAGGCATCTTTGGGACAAGCCTTGTTGAGGTTAGTGTAGTTTGTGCACATTCTCCATTTCCCATTCGGCTTCTTGACCATGACAACATTGGCCAACCAAGTTGTATACTGCACCTCCCGGATGAATTTTGCTTCAACTAATTTAGCAACTTCCTCTTCAACAACATCACCTCTTTCAACCCCCATTTTCCTCTTTCGTTGGGCTACTGGTCGAGCCTCTAGGCAAACTGACAGTTTATGACACATAAAGCTAGGATTTATACCTAGCATGTCTGACGGGGCCCATGCAAAGAGATCCTTGTTTTCGATGATCACCTTACTCAAAGCTAGCCGATCCACTTCTAGAACGCCGATTCTGATGTACGTGACTTGAGACGACTGTGCACCCAGCTGTAACGGAACCTTTTCTTCCGTTGGTTCTACTCGTTCGTCCAGGTTCATCCTAGGGTCAAGATCCCAAGTTGAATGTTCAATTGAGGAGGGAGTGACCGCATGGACACCAGAACGGGGTTCCTCAAGAGGTAGTATCTTTAAGCTCGAAAAGTAACACTCTCTTGCTGCTTTTTGATCAGCGTGGATCGTAAGTATTTTTCTAGTATCCAATGGAAACTTCATAGCAAGGTGAGGTGTAGACACAATGGCTCCTAACCTGTTCAGTGATGGTTGACCCAAGAGGATGTTGTATGAAGTATTGGCGTGCACCACAATGTATTTAACTTGGATGTCCCGATATTCTTTTTCATCAAAACAAAATCGAGTGAGTAACTTGATGTAACCCTGAGTATTAACCCTTTCGCCTAAAAAACCAACCAGCGGGTCGTCATATAGGATTAGTTCGCTTTCGGGTATGCCCAACTTTTGGAATGTGTTCCAATACAAAATGTCGGCCGAACTGCCTTGATCAACCAAAGTCTTTCTAACGATGTAATTGTGTATCTCAATACTAATTACCATAGGGTCGTCCTGCACCGGGTCAATGCCTTGGAAATCTTCAGTTGTGAACGTTATTGTTGGGAGCTTTCGAGCTGATTGTTTTTCGACAATGTTAATTGACCGGACCACCCTTAAATGCCTTTTTCGTGCCGAGGAAGTTGCACCTCCGCCGACGAAGCCTCCTGCTATTATGTTGATTACTCGTCTAGGGGGTGCATGTGGGTCTTCTTTTCTTTCCCTGGATCGACTGCATTCACGATGGTCACGGGGACGCTCACGCCTATGTTGATCGTGGTGCCGAGACTGATAAGTTGCTCAGGATGAGGTGGGTCTATCCACGAACCTCTGGAGTTTCCCTTGTTTTATCAAGTCTTCAATCTTATCTTTTAGTGTCGCAAACTCCTCCGTGGAATGGCCTCGATTGCGGTGATACCGACAAGACTTGTTTGTGTCGGCATGTGGGGGTGTTGAGGCTCTTTTTGGGACGACCAAAACCTCAGACGCAAGAGCTTGTTCAAGTACCGTTGCCCGACTTGCATTTAGAGGTCTGTACTAGGAGTATTTTGGACCACGTGCTGGCCGTTCACGAAGTGTCAACTCTTTGTTTCGGGTCTGAAAGGGTTGCTCTATCAGCTTTTCGACCTTGCTCATGGTTTCAGCTCGAGCTTGGTTACGGAAGTCAACCAGCTCTTCCATCTGCATGTACTTGTCCGCACGGCGCCGTAGATCATCCATATCCATGGGGTTTTTTTTGCAAATACTATTAGCGAAAGGCCCCGGTTTCAGAGTTGTTGTTAGGTGGTGAAGAGCCACTACTGGGTTGAGGTCTCGTATCTCTAGCGATGTCTTGTTGAACCGATCCATAAATGACCAAAGTGATTCCTTCTTATCTTGTCAAAGGCTAACTAGTGACAGGGACGTTAGATGGTGTGGACGACTTGTAGCGAATTGGATTATAAACTGAGAGGACAGAGTGGCGAAGGAATCAATTGAGTTGGGAGGGAGCCGAGTAAACCAGCTCAAGGCCCTGCCCTTCAGAGACGTTGGAAAAATCCAACAGTGGGCCGCATCGTCTGTGGTACTCAATGTAACCTGTGTGAGAAACACATCAATGTGCTCATCCGGATCTGTTGTACCATCATACTTGTCAATTGGCAAGGCTTTCCAATTTTCTAGCAAGGATGACTGGATAATAGAAGAAGTGAAAGGGTGTCTGTGTGATCCAACCGACGCGGGGCGGATCGGGCGCTCAATGGTGGGTACAGCCGGTGAGGGTTTTTCTTGTGTCGCGACCGAAACGTGAGGGAGAGAGGCGTGATTTCGTGAGACTGGAATGAGCTCTGAGTTTGCGCGGGGGTTGCTTGAGTAGGCTTTCAAGATGGATCTTGAATCTTCAGTGCGGCGTTCTTTGCTTTTAAGGCCGAAAGCTCTCTCGCATCCCTCTCTCTTTGTTGTTTCAAGGCGGCCATTTCTTTCTTTAACTGTCGAACGGTTTCGAAAAGATTTGTTTCATCTACAACCTCAACGGGGTCCTCCTCCTCTTCAGATCGGTGGTCTTCCGTGTTGGTTCTCCTCGTCCTAGCCATTTTACCTTGATCGTGTTGCTTACTCTAACTCTTAATTCGGCCCCATGGTGGGCGCCAAAATGTACCTGTCTTAAGGGCACAACAGTAATCTTCTCGTACTCTGAAGGCCGAATGAGAGCTCCGATTGAATATCCCGGTGAGAGGGAGGGTACCTGCAAAAGGCACTCCGACGCTCAAGTCAGGACAAGCATAGATATCGATAGTAATTAATGAACAATGACGTTACCTCGTGACATGAGCTATTTATACTGACATTTATGGGCCCTGATCCCCATGGGCCCTACAATATGCTTACCAATCTAGGTAATACGTCTTAATCAGTTTATCGGTGTAATTAACCCTTAATTACTGATTAAGGGTAATCTTTGAGTGTAGGCTGATCCTGGTGGCCGATTGGGTGTCGGCTACCAGATTCGGCCACTTGGTGACCGATAGGGTTTCGGCTATGCGATGGTCGAACGCCTTTACCCGTACATAACTCATTGGCGAGGGATTTGCGACACAAAAACTCCCTCGCTAGATGAAAAATTCATTTTTTATTTTGGCTCATAATTTGGCGAGGGATTTGCAAGGCATTTGCGAGGGCCTGAGTTCCTCGCTAAATAAGCACTAACTTTAGCGACGGATTTGCGAGGAGATAAAGGTTGGTCGCAAAATGTTCCTATTTAGCGAGGGATATAAACCCAAGCTATTTGCTCGCTAATTAGCAAGGGATTAGAGAGGAAATGTGTCCCTCGCTAGTCCCTCGCTAATTAGCGAGCAAATAGCTTGGGTTTATATCCCTCGCTAATCCGCAAAATTCTTGTAGTGTGTACTCCATGAAAAATTTGAGTGCATTAGTCACACCAAAGGGCATAACCAAATACTCATAGTGCATATAACGAGTCCTAAAAGTACTCTTTAGAATATCCTCTAACTTCACCCAAATATAGTGGTATCTTGATCTCAAATATATCTTACTGAACACACAAGCCCCAACCAATTGATCCATAAGGTCATATATCCTAGGCAAAGGATAGTCACCTTATTGAGTTGGCGATAGTCTACACACAATCTCACACTTGACCTAATGAACTATTTCTCTTAAAGCTCCTTTATTTGTTTCTTAAGCTTAGCTATTTACTTAAGAGACATTCTATAAGGTGTTATAAAAATAGGTATTGTACTAGGTACTAAGTTTATGGCAAACTCAGTCTCTCTCTCAGGTGGTAAGCTAGACATGTCTACAGGGAAAACCTCGAGGAAATCTCTCACTAATGGAATTTCACTTAGCCCACTCTTCTGCTCAAGCTTTAAATAGGCAAGTATCATGTATACCTTGTCATTTTCTTTTAAATAGGTTTTAATCTGATTGGAAAACATGAATTTCACATTCTTACTCTCACCAAAAGAAATAGACTTTTTAAAGAAGTTTAATAGGACATGATTGGAAGATAACCACTACATTCCAAGAATAATACCTAGTTGATTAAGAGGCAAACAAATCAAATAAACCAAAAACTTATTTTTAGAAATCATAATAGGAAATTTAAGAAAAAT